CCGGTGCCAGGCAGAGCGGGGATGGGGACGGGGACGAAGCGGGCTGCAGAGGATGCTTGGAAAGGACCCAGGTCCAGAGCAGCATCCTGTCGAGGGGTGCTGTGGTGGCTGAGAGAGGGCAGAGGGGGTGGGATGCTGTCTCTGCTGCTGGAGTTTCTTTGGGGTTTACCCAGGCTTCTCTCTGCAGGGAGCAGCAGGCAGAGCTGGTCGGACTCCCCACGTCTCCAGATGAAGGTAAGGGCAGCCCGGGGTGGGGATGGGGGGGAAGGGGTGGGGTTTGCACCCTCCTTCCCTGAGCAGCATTGCACAGGTCCAGCAGGAGGGTGTCCCCTGGCCTGGCAGCAACCCCATAACCCTTCCAGCCCTGGGACCCCAACCCTGTCCCCCGGATCTGCCTCGCCAGCAGTAACCCACTCGCTGCACCAGAGCCCTCACCCTCCTTCCCCTGCCCTGGCCCAGCCTGGCTGCAGCTCCCTTAACCCCACAGGGGTATTTGGGGGGCACCTGGCAGCCCATGCCCCCTGGGAGCCTGCAGGCTGCCGAAATGCCAGCAGTGGTTTTGGGGGGTTTCCCTTGAAGTGGTGTCAGGCTGGGAAGGGGATGCTGCTGCCCAGCTCCCACCACCCTTTCTGTCCCCAGGGAGGATGAGCCAGGGGCACCCAGATGGGGTTTTGGCCAGGAGCGAGCAGAGTGTGGAGCATGTCGGTGAGGTGAGAGGGAAGGGAGGGTGACAGGTTGGGGGGGACCCTTCCCTCCCCAGCCCCTTGGGCTCAGCCCAACCTCTTGGTGCTGCTCTTTCTGGGATACCATCCAGCACCAGGGAGGGGTTTGCTCTGACAGCACCCTTGTGCCCCCCAGGTGCCAGGCACGGACAGGCAGGAGCTGGCTGTGCGCACCAGGGACAGTGACGGGACTGAGGAAGGTGGGTGAGTCCCCACCCCACATCCCAGCTGGGTCCCTTTAGGGAAAGGCTTGAAGTAGCTGGGGATGAGTGTGGGAACAGCGTGGCCTGATGGGGGTCATCTCCCTTAGTGGGGACATGGGGAAGGGGGGGACTGGCCAGGGGGGACCTGAAGCCCTGCTGGTGCGGGGGGGAAGGATTGGGACGGTCCCACACCACAGGCAACTGCTCCTTGCTGGGACAGGAGGGCAGAGGGAGGAGGAAAGGCCAAGGAAAAGCCTTCACGTGTGGGCTCTCCCCTGGTGTTACTGCTTCCCTGCAGATGCAGAAACCCCGGAGGAGTCGCTGCTGAGTTTCCCCAGCGAGCTCTCGGTGCTGGAAAGACTAGGCTTGCACAGGTAAGACCAGTGTCCCTCCAGGGTCTGCCGGACAGGGAGGTCCCAGAGCACTATATCATCCAAGGATTGGACTTTCCTCCTTTTCCACTGCACAAGAGCTGCTCTCCAAGTGAGGGGCATGTGGGTCCCCACTTCTGGTGGTGGCTGGCACCCCTGGGAACGGACCAAGGGCATTTTCAGCATGCAGTCCCCGTGGTGCCTCCATCCCTGACAGCACTTCTCTTTCTGCAGGGTGGCTTTGACGGAGCAGGATGTGGAGGTGAGGGCTGCCGGGGGCTGCAGGTGGGCTGGAGAAGGGGGACAGAGGGACCGACACCTTGCTGTACTAGGGCTGTGCCCTGCTCCTGGCTGCCCTCCAGGCACCGCAGTCCCCTGGCAGCTGCCTTACAAATCCCTTTCCCAATGATGCTGTTGGTATTTGGAAGCAGCTGCATTTCCATGGCAAGATGAGCCCGTCCTCTGTGCACCCAGCAATCCCACAAAGTGCTCTGCAGCTCGCCGAGAGCACCCTTAGCCAGGGAGGTGGTGGAAGCCACACTAATAAAAATAATTTTCCTGCGAGTGCCAGGGCTGAGTCAGGCTCTGCTGTCAGCCGGGGCCTGCAGCGAGGGCTGGCGTCTGCCCGGCGCGTGCTCTTGCCAGGAGGGCTTGGGATTTCCATGCATTATCAGCTGCCTGGGGGACATGTCTCGGTCAGGCTGGCATCTCATGGGGACTGTGCCCAGCGTGCAGCAGCCTAGCGAGTGATGGGGCAAGGCAAGTGCTAATTATCCTTAGCACTGCCCTGCTTGGTAGCATGCTTGGGGGTCTGTCTGTGCCTTGAGGACAGCGGTGTGTGGCCCTGGTGGCCTCCCCTTTGCCCTGTGTCCCACCTCTCACCCTCCCACCCCACAGGCAGCCTTTGCCCACCTCGCCCTGGCTTTTCGCTGCGACGTGTTCACCCTGCGGCAACGGGTGCAGGTGGAGAAACGGGCACGGGACGCAGCAGAGGAAAACATCCAGGAGGAGCTGGGGCAATGCCGGGCTGCCCTGGAGGTCTGTGGGGACCAGGGCAGGGGGCTGGCATCCAGCCCTGGAGGGGTTTGGACAACTCCGAGTCCTGCCTCCGGCAGCTCCATCCTCCCTCTCTCCCTCCACAGAGGCTGGGGCCACCCTGCGCCGCCACGGG